TCTGTGGCTTCACTGTCCCCCCTCCCACCCCCCAGAGCACCCAGCCCACAGGGCAGGAGGAAACTGCCAAGCCCACCAGGGACATGAGGCTCTGAGGGACACATCTTGCTGGACAGGCAGAGCTGTCTGTTAAGTGGTCACTGCCACACCTGGCAGGGCTGGGACTGGGGGTCAGGCACCCTGCCTCGCACCGAGAGCCCTCCAGCCCTCCGAAGGCCCGGTCCACTGAAGGGAGCAGGTGGGGGCAGGCGGCATTCCGGGCCGTGACAGAGCTTTCCTCTGGGGCCCTGGCGGGGACCGGGGCTCACGGCCTCGGGTGGGGGGCGGATGGGGATCAGGGCAGGCTGGGCTGGCAGAGGGGCCGTTACCAATGAATTCGCTGCGCAGCTGGGTGCGGGCACGGAGGTCCTCGGGGCCCAGGATGATGGCATTGACCGTGCTGAGCAGGGTGACGACGTAGGGCACGTTGCTGCTGTCAGAGAGCTCGTTCACGATGACGCTGAAGCGGTACTGCTGGCTGCACACCGTCTAGGGGTGGTCAGGGGTCAGCCTGCATCCCAGGCCCCGCCCAGGCCCCAGCCACATGGTCACTCACCTTGTAATGGTCCAGGGCGTCCAGGGCCAGGGCATGGCCCTCGGGAGAGTAGATGCACAGGGCGGCCAGCAGCTCGAACACCTGCTTCTTGACCATCACGTTCGAGGTGTCCAGAGCTGTCACGGGCCGGGGGCGTCTCAGCGGGGCCCACGCCCCCAGGCCGTGCCGCCCCCTCAGCCCTTCCCCCACCCGTGCCTTCCTCCTGCCCCAACTCCCACACTATGCCTGTGGACACAGGGGTGCTGTGCACCCACCCGCCGCCCGGACCGTAGGGGCAGACCTCATGCGGAGAGGCTCAGGGGCAGGGCAGCCCTGGTCACCCGGGTTCTGCCCTGGCTGCGTCTGGGCCTGTGGGCACACCTCCCTGGCCTGAGTCCGTGTCATCCCCAAACTCAGTACCAACTGCCTCCCACCTCAGCCCCTGAACTGAGAAAGTTCTTGGGTGTCCCTTGGCTGGCCCTGCTGAGAGCAAGTCACAGAGGTCTCTACGGAAGCACGGCGAGGCCGGACCGGGTCGTACGGGAACGAGGCAGCCTCCGTCTCGCTCACCTATGCAGCACCTGCCCCCATGCGTTGGCCCACCTGTCACTGCTCACCCCTGGAGCCCCAAGCATGAGGAACTTGGTCGCTGCCGGGAAGCAGCACAGCCTGGCGGGCAAGGGACACAGTGACCACTGTCTACCAGGGACCACAGGACTAACTGTGGGTGCTGCCTAAGGAGACTTTCTGGGGAGGTGACAGTGAGCTGGAACTTAAAGGGTGAGTGGGACTTTGCAGCCACACAAAGCAGACCAGCCTGAGGTGGAGGTGGAGACTGGGGGCCCCCAGATGGCAGGAGCAGGGGGCAGGGCAGGGGTGGGCAGGGGATGCTGGACGGTGCCGTCAGCAGGTGCCTGCCAGACCTGAAGGGCTGCTGCCCGGCCAACGCCGAGGGCTCTGAGCCCCCTGGAGAGTGTTTTCGACTCAGGTGACTCCAGCTGCCACAGTGTGGGGGGGAGGGGGTGGGCGGGCCTGGAGGCCGGACACCAGGGTGGGGGCGGGGCCTGAACCAGCACAGGGCTGGGTGGAAAATCCGGGCAAAGCCACAGAACAGAGGGGCGACGAGGTGCAGCTGGTGGAGGAGCCACGGCTCCAAGGTGACCTGGGGGTCTCAGACGTGGGGCGAATGGGAAACTGGCTCTTCTTCCAGGAAGCCCTCCCTGCCTGCCCAGCCCGCCCGCGCTCACCCAGGGAGAGCTGGCGCACGTAGGCCTGGTTGCTGAGGATGTACTCGAGGCCCTGCTGGGAGTTCATGACGGCGCGCACGCAGCTGATGCAGGTGAGCTGCAGCAGGGCGTCGGCGATGCGGGCCACGCCGCGGCCGGACAGGCGGGGCAGGGCCTCGAGCAGCAGGTCCAGGCCGCTCTGCTCCAGGAACTGCACCATCCAGCTGCCGTCACTGCCCTCCAGCCGCTTGCGCAGGCCGGAGTAGTTGACCACAGACGGCATCTGCAGCAGCCGGATGCACAGCTCGGGGTCGGCGCTCTCCAGGTTGGCCTCCGTGGGGTCCGCGTCCTGCGGCCCCAGCTTCTCCTTCAGCGCTGCCCACTTGCGCTGTGCGCCCTCCTTCACCGACATCCTGCCGAACTGCGGGGCCGGAGGGGGCGGAGGTCAGCCCGCAGCCCGGCCGGGCGCGGCCGGCGGAGGCAGCACCCTCTGCCTCGGCGTCTCCACCTGCCGGGCTGGTTTCCCCACAGCGCCCGGGCCTCTGATGCTCGTGCTGGCGCTGCCCCGAGCCTCCGACGCCCAGGCCAGGCGCGCCACGCACCCACCCCTGACCGAACTGCCGCAGCAGCGAGGAGCCAGCAGCACCACCCTGCTCTAGGGACGAGGACCCAGCCAGTGGTGACGATGTGACAAATGGTGTCTGGGGCTCCCTTCCTGCGCCCCGAGGTGCTTCCCCTGCCCCATGGATGGGGCCAGAGGAGCACGGTGGGTGATGCATGGCAACTCTGTCCCTGGATACTCCAGGTGTGGCCAGGGAGGGGCTGACTCGAAGGTCAGGTGCAGCGTCCACCCAATTCCAGGCAGGACAGGGCCCCATGAGGCGACGGCCCTGCCAGTCCCTGGCTCTGTGGCCTGAGCTTGTCGACCTGTGTGCGGATGGAGGACCAGGTGTCCCCCAGGTCTTCAGTGTGTGGAGATCTATCGGATTCTGCTGCAGCAGGTGTGACCCCGGCCCAGAACGTCCCCCCAGCACAACAGCAGGACAGGTGGGCTGTGTCTGTCATCGCCACACCCACCACGCTCCGTCCCTGGGGCTCATGGCCATGACGCCATCCGCAACCACATCCCCTGGGGACTGGCCCCAGAGGTCAGGGCGGCCCAGGCTCTCCGGCAACCATGTATGGCTTGGCTCTTATATTTAGCGCCCGAGAAGAGCAGCGTGGAGCTGCTGGGAGGGAGCTGAGGGGCAGGGCATGCGACTCCACTGTGCCTCTCCCCAGGGCCCGGCCCCGCCCGCCCCCGGCCTCTTTTTTTTTAGGCACCGTATAGCTCTATTCTATAGGAGAAACAGGGGGCGGCGCCCAGAGCAGCCAGGTCACATGCTCACATCCCCAGAGCGGGAAGCAGTAGAGCCAAGGGAGACTGGACCCCAGAGGGGGGCCTGGAGCCCACGAAATGCTGGACGGCCAGCTCGGCTGCACACCGAGGGTGGCCGGACCTGGTAACTCAGAGGGGGGACCCCAAGGCCCAGCAGAGGTCACGCAGGGGACAGAGGCTGAGTGGGCACAAGAGCCCAGTGCATGTGGCCTCCTGGGGGCCCTGCTGCCTCCTGACTCGGTGAGGGGCCCCGGCCTGCTGGGAACAGAGAGAACGTCCAGGGCCACCTGGCGTCTCAGCAGCCCCTCCGCCCTTTGCAGCGGGTCCACTGCAGGAGGCCAGCCTCTCGTCCTCCCACCGGGCCAGCCGCCCTGCGGGGCCCCTGGGGTCCTCCCCAGAGGCAGCCTGGTTGTGGGGGAGACAGGGCTCTGACCTGCGAATGTGCCCAGCTCTGGCCCTTGTCAGCAGACCGTGGCCGAGTCCCTATCCTGTCTGACCCTGTGTCCTCACCTGTGCTTCCAGAATCGGCCTGCTGGGAGCCTTCCGAGAGGCAGCGGGCATGGATGTCCCCTGCAGCCGGCAAGGGGAACGTTGGGCTGTTCATCGGCCCTCCTCCGGGGCCCGCAGCCTCGACCTTGTGCTGGACCCCACCCGTGACTCCACGGTCTCTCCCACCCGCCCGGCCCTCGGCCCTGGCCCTGTCCACTCACCCAGACGTGCAAGACCTTTCGGCCACTTCTGCCCACCCATTCCAGGCTCTGCCTTGGGCTGCCCCTCCCGCTCTCCTGGCTTCTCATCAGGCTGACTGCTGAGCGGCCCGGCTGCCCGCCACGGCCTCGGCCCCTCCTGGGTTGGTGAGGGGGCTGCTCCCAGCACCATGAAGAGCACGGCGGACGGGCCTCTGCACTCACTGCCACCCCCTTGGGTGCTGCTGCTTAAAGAGGCGCCCAGAACTGACTGCCCTTCCCCACCCCGCCCCCGCTGGCCCAAAGTCCCCATTTCCTTGGCAGAGGCTGAGTGGACAGAGCGCGAACTCTCCCAGGCCAGGCCTCTGGCATCCCAAGTGTCCTCTCCAGCCAAGAGCCCCAGGGGTCCCTGGATGCAGAGAAAACACATCTCAGAGACACTCAGCACTGCCTAGAGCCACCGTGCTGGCACCGCTCAGTCCTGTGCACCTCCAGTCCGTGGGGCCAGGTGCTCGCTTGCCCCAAAGCCCCTGCCTTCATCTATGGGGGGAAAATGTGGGAGCACAGGAGGTGACCACCCCATCTGTCGGCCTGGCCGCGAAGATTCTATACTGTGTGCCCTGCTGTGTCCTGGAGCCAAGCTGCCCAAGCTGGCCATGCCCCACCTGGTTGTACATACCCAGTGGGGCAGCGGGCGTGCTCCGCTGGCTGTGGCCAAGTACAGACAGAGCGTCTGCTCTCCACCGTGATGCCCACTGGGCTGCCCAGCCCCCTCCAGAGCCCGCTGAATGAGGTCCCAGGCTCAGAACATCTCCCTGGAGGTGTTCCAGCTGCTTTTCAGGATGAGAGACTGAGTACATAAATGGACAACGGCCAGACCATGCACAAAGATAGAACTCTGACCCGCGACCCGCCCAGGAAGCCGGTTCTGCATCTGCAGGAAGCAGCCTGCAGGCTGTCCGACCCCCACCCTGAGGGGCAGCCCCGGCAGTCGACAGCCTCCCTGCAACGGTCACCCCAAACACGGGCCTGATCAGTAACTGATGGTGTCCCTAACTTTGTCCCCACTTCCAGCTCGGGCCCATGGGAGAAAGCCCAATGTGCTCCCAAGCAGTCATGTGGATGCCCCCCTTAAGGCTGGCTGGGTGCCCAGATTCCCCAGTCCCCCCGGGGCCCAGCACCCCTGAACCCCCTTTTCCAAAGCTTTCTATACATAGAAAATGCTGTGACCTGTTAACATAGACACCTGTGTAGCACATTATAGGTCTGTTGCATAACGTACGTGTATACATAGTAACAACGAACACACACACACGTGGAACCTCAAGCTCCCCCACTCTCCTGCCGCCCTTGTCGCTGCCCAGCGCGGTGCCGGCTCCCGGCTGCGGCAGCTCCGAATGAGCAGGCTTTGCTGTCCCCGCCTGGTGGCAGGGAGCACGGGAGGGAGTCCTGCGTGACACCCCTCCTGACAAGCTCTGGATGCTGGGAAGGCAGTGGCCTAGAAGGCGGAGCCTCATTCCTGAGCTTACTGTCTGTGTGCCCCCAAGTGACTGCCCCTCTGCTCCCTGCCTGTGACTCGACAGCTCCCATCTCAGGGTGGCAGTGGGGTTCTGTGTGAAGAAACTGGACCCGGTGGGCACGGAGTGAGAGCTCAGGAACGCTCGCGACAATCGTAATACTGTCTGGCTGCCTGGCCCTGCGCCCTCCGGCGCTGCCCGGCCCTGCCCG